ACACATAAGTGAGTTGCTGAGCAGCATCTTAAGAATATCAAGGTACATGTTTAAGAATTTCTTCATAGGAAGGTGAATTTTCAAATTCAGTGTACAATGGGCTTGTCATAAAGCAGTTGTTTATCAAAACCAGCTTTCCTTGACATCAACGTAAGGCATTAGAAATTCAAAAGAATCCTTTTCATCCTTGATTCTGAATTAAAAACCTAATGCATTTTACTTTCTTCTTCTCTAAATAACATTTCTGGCTAGTTTAAGCCGCATTTTAAAAGGCTTATAAACTACTGAGGTCACAGACACATTCCTTTGGTAATGCTTAGCTAATGTGTTAGCTTGACATTCAGAGTTATTTAATGCATCTGGTTGTAAACTGGGAAGGGAGAGGAAGAATTTCTCTCAGAATCAGATTATTACTTATTATGTACAATAAGTAGATGTGTCTTTAAGCTCAATAAACTTATTTTTATGTTGTGGATATAGATTGTCTTCAACTGAATGGTAATGAAACAATGCATCCAGCTATAGGGTTTATAGAAAATTGTTTTGTCTGATTATGGAGTGATTTTTAATCACTGTCTATTACCCATTCAGCACATCAGAGGGACTTGGTAAGCAGTGTATACAAGATTCTGAAGCTTTTAGGTGACCACATCGTACATACATGGCTATTAAATTGGTATTCAGTAATAGACACATGCATACCTTATGACTTGAAAAACTTAGGAGATATGTATGTTCATATATGCAACCGAGTGTTTCTTTGCCTGCCTTTTGAACCACATCATTGGACATAGCCACAACTCTGCTAGACCATATCATCAGTTCATTCTGTGATGTCTTTGATGGTGCAGAAGAACAGATGGAGTTCTGTCTACGTGTGTTTCTCACCTTGTCTTCTCTCTTTTGTCCCTTTGGCTAAGTAGTTCCTGTAAAGGCAGATGGGCACTCAAACCCTCTGCTAACTTTGGGACTGAACTGCTAGACTTTACAAACCGAGGACATTAAATGAGATGCATTTTCCTATTTTTTGTACCTTTTTAGCTAAAAAAAAAAAAAGTGATTTCAAAACAAGTCTGAAAACCATTTGAAAAATACTTCACTGTACTTTATTATAAAATTTGAAATATTCCCTCCTCTTATCAGTATAGAGTTACAAAAAAAAAAAAAAAAAAAAAAAGATTTTCTAAAAGTATTTTGGAGTTCAACAAAGATAGACATCAGAAATGGATCTCAAAATAAGTTAGTATGAAGTTTATAAATAATAAAGAAAAAGGGTTGGCTCAAAGGAAATATGAAGGTTCAGACATGATTTTCCATTGGTAGCCAAGGTTATTATGTATTCTTGAAATTCTACCATGAACTTCTGATTTAGGCATCCAGAATATATTAAAAATTTAGTTAAGATCATGACAGATTGCATACAATTATCTGAGTCAATCATGGGTTAAAATGATGCAGAGCTACATAAGCACACTGAGAATGAAATGTGAAAAGGCACAGTTCCCTAGCTGTTCTTTAACTACCTTGCTAAATGATTGTTGACAAGTTATGAAAAAAATGATTATGAAATTAGTGAAATGATTTAAAAAAACGTGGGCTGCCTTGTGGTCTCCGAAGTAGTCTAGACAAGCATTGCAGGGACATTTTTTCTAAGCAAAAGTAACATTTTTTATATTATGGTTCCCAGTAAATGCAGTTTCTGAATTAGGGTATCCAAGTCTATTCTCTAAAATAAATATTATATCCAAGAACTATTCAGTGTGGTTTCCCCAGATATTTTTAATAAACTGGAATTTATATAACCTGAGCTGATTACTTCAGGTCAGAGTATCATTTTCTGCATTAACTTCTGACAAAAATATATTGCATTTAGATTTAGTAGCAGGTCCTCAACATCCATTAAATGGAACAATTAAACAATTAAGATGCAATTCCCTGTAATGGCAATTATACCATACAGGCATATATGGCAGTACACAACTATACACACTATAGGATTTCAAGAATGATCAATTCTGCATATCAGATTGTTAAAAAAGACACTTTTACAATTCAGTAGGGTTTGTTACAGTGTTTTACACTGAATCAAGATACATCACCACCAATGTGATGCGTTATAGTCAGCTTCAATGTTTCTCCACATGGTTTAATTACCTTGTCTCTATAAAATTTTCAGTATTTTTTTCCACAGAAGTATTCACTTTAATTCAATAAAGCATGCATTCAGTGGGTTGTCCAAGCAAAATATATTTTCGTACATAAAATACTTTTGTTTTGGTTTGTGGACTATCCGTTCTCAGACACCGTTCATCTGGATTATCCATTAGGGTATGTTTTTCTTCAGATGAGATTAATATTCTTTTAAGAACACTAATTAACCACTGATGATTTGTTTATAGCCTTGATACCTCTAGTTTCATTCTCTGCTTAGACTTCCAAAGCTTCTGCTAAAGCCTTGCTAAAATCCCTAGTTGTTTTTTTTTTTTTTTTTTTTTTGGTTTGGTTTTTTTTTGTTTGTTTGTTTTTTCAAAAGTCTTTAAGCTTTGCTTTCTTGGTTATGTAACTAATGGTTATTAGTATGGTTACTAATGGTTCTTAACACACTCCATTCATGAATACCTCCTTGTTTTAGGTTCATTAAATGTACACAAAACAATGACATGGGAAAAAAAGCATAATAATTATTACATAATTATGTCATAAGACATAAGACATAGATGAAGATATTGGTCTGGTGCCACTTGCTAACAATAACTACTAGTTATGGCAGCATCCCTAGGATGTTATCAAATTTACTTTATAACAAGCACTGTGAATGTTATTTTACCTTCTAAAAATGTTATTCCACAGAAGGATAGCACATTCTTCCTAGTATTTGGGGGTCTGAATCTTCTGTGACTTATTTGAGACTTTATTAAACTGAACTTTATGAAGATGGCAAAGCTTATCTTAACTTCTGCTGTGAGAGATCTTGTTGGACTCAGAGTAGCAGCTGAATTCCGCAAGATGCTATGCCACTGTTGACTGTGGTGCACTGAGTGAAATTCTCTTGCTGAGAACATAATAATATCAAAGAAGATGGTTCTGGCTTGTACTGTATCGTGTACTCCTAGTACATGATGTTTCTAAAAAAAAAAAAAAAAAGATATTATAAACTCACACTGTTTTTGCTTGTCGTAAGTGTGACTGAAAACCCCATTGGTCTTTAGGACAAAAGGCATTATGTATCCATTGGTAATAGGTTTCTGTTTCTACCATAAGCTCTTTAAATTGTGCTGAGCGGAAAGATGGTTCCTGTCACAAGTTGAAAAAATAGTCTGAAGGTTACTTCAACAGCTACTTACCCAAAACTGCCAAGTATGTGTTTATTGGGTGAAAGAATTTTGTTGGATCAATCTGCTATTTGTGCAATGAAGAGTAATTTCACTGCTTATAGAAGATTGTAGACTGGCATTTTTCTTGCCCTTATTTCTGCCAAAAGAATTGAGAGCAAATCATAAAGAGATTTCCAAAATTTTGTGTCGAGTCTCTTCTATTTCAATGGGTTCTTAAATATTTATCACACATAATCTTTTGATACTCTTCTTCTGCAGTTGCTCACATCTAATTTTTGCTGCCAGAATTTTGCTGGCAGAACTGTGAAATTGGCACAGTGGTTAATGTGCCACTTGTCACTCTGAAAACACTGTTCATTTCACTGGATATCAGTTTGTATGAAAGCTGTTATACAAAACAGGAGAACACAATAATTTATGGGAGACAGAGATACAAGAAGTAATTATGCAGAAATTCTGTAGGTATGTAGACTGTTATTCCCACTTCTACTGGCCAACTTCTGCATAATATATACCCAGACTTTCAAGCTTTTTTTGACATTCTCTGGAAAGTGCTCATACAGTGGGCTTATTACCTCTAGGTATTAATTTAACAAGTCTCGTACTGTAAGAATTTACTATGAACTAGGTACTCTCTTTTTCTTGATTTTCATATGGAGAGATGTGAAAATAGTGCTGTTTTTGTTTGTTTGTTTGTTTGTTTACCCAATGAACACAGCTTTCATTCTCCAGTTACTGAAAAACAACTTTAAGATATTTGGATTTGTCTTCGATGAACCTTCATTATAAATTTCTTTCATCTGCATATGTGAATTTGGGGGGCATTGCTGAATATGACATTCTTTGTGCAATTTTTGCAAAGTCTCTGTAGACTGCAGATCCTTGAAGGTAATGTCACCTTGAGAGAATTCATCAAAACATACTCTAATTTGGCTGGCCTGGCTGCCAAGGTAGACATGTAGTTTTCAATCTTTGAACATTTTGTTGATCGAAGTAAGAACAGAGTGTCGATTTATAACTTTTGACAGCTTCGGCAATGGACCTTTCTGTCTGACAGTCTTGTGTATAGAAGAGAGAGTAACAAACACAGCTGCTATCCTTAATTTATTTTGATAAAATACTTTTACACAGGTGGTCAGTGCTAGAAACTAATCACGTTAGCTGTGACCAGATTTATACACTTGTTCCTCAAGGTCTTTTATGAGCATTGGCTCTTAAGTTGATGCTATTCACTTTATTTTCATACTTCACAGGGAAGGTCTTTAAGGAGTTCATCAGAAGATTGCTATTTGTGCAATATTTGTACACTGTATTCACACCTTAAAGTGAAATTGTGCCGTTCTGCAAGTCAGAAGGATTTTCTCCACTTCTTTTTTTTTTTTTCTTTCTTTTTCAGTGCTTTATTGATATTGTGTAGCACAAAAAAAAAAAAATTAAAGTTTTCAGTAACTTCTATATAAGGTAGACTTAGTGATAATGAAAATATCACACATTTTCTTTGTGAGGTTTTTAGAATTATTACCATATCAGTGTTGCGTTAAGAAGAACCTGGTCAGTGTGATCAACTGTCTCTAATTATAATTTTTCTGCCAGAATATCTTTTCTGGAAAATTGCTATAAAGATATTTATACTAATTGTTCTAATTGTTTTTTAATATTTTTCAGGGAGTGCTGGAACACCTGTTATCTTCAATGAAAATGGAGATGCTCCTGGACGCTATGATATTTTTCAATATCAAATCACCAACAAAAGTACAGAATACAAAATAATTGGTCATTGGACCAACCAGCTTCATCTAAATGTAAGTAGTATTTTAATTATGATGCTGACATTGGAGAAATGCAACCGTTTGAATATTACATTATTATATTTCAGGAATGTTGAGGACTTCTATTAGTTGGCATAAAAAAGTTACTCCGTTCTCTTTTTGAGAAGAGAGTAAAAAATAGCACAAAAAAGCTGAACCCAATTCTTTTTATTCTAAAGTGGGTTGGGTTCCATATTCACCTGCTGCTTTAAATGATATTTTAGAGTCATTATATATCTGATATTCCTCAGTCTGACTATGAAGTTAGGCAGTGAAATAGTAACTCATCCTTCAAAAGAAGGTGTCAGACAAAATGATTCACACATATATATTGCTCATGTCTTTCAAATATAGAAAGGATATGAGGGGATGGAAATGTACATAATAAAAGAGAAGTTTGGACTATAAAACCACTTCTGAGTTGGTTGAAACACTAGGATGATGAACTACAGCAATAAAAATATTTCTTGAATATAAAAGGAGAATTTGGAGTTTTTCTGTGTGGTTAACTAGGATTAGTGTAATCTTATACTAATTAATAACAGAGGAAACAAAGTTACCCTTCCTTGGGAGGTGTTTCGAATTGCTGCTTTAATAAGTTCTGCAAGTTTTGTGGTAGCTGAGTCCCACATGTGCATTGAATTATATTTGTTTTGAAAATCACCATCCCAATGATTCAGAGAACATACGTAAGAATATTTGAATGACAGCTAAACATCAAGCCACAACTTTAATGGGAAGTTCTGGGGGCCAGGAAAGTTACAGTCTTGAGAACACCACAACACAGTTAACCTGTTTCATTGATTTACAGGGTTTACCTTAGCTCAGCAAATTTGAAATACCAACTGTTGTTTTGCTAAAGGCTAGTGAGAAAGGCAACAGTGTGAACTGATTCACCAAGGGGAGTTTATTCGGTAATTTTAATCAAACCACAAGGAAGAGTTTTCTAACAGCTCTGGTTTTCTATGTAAGTGGTTCCTGATAAAGACCAGCAAAGACAGTGCAGTAAATATTTACCAATGATTCTCCTGTTGAGACTACTTTGCAATAATTATCAGAATGCTACCAACAATAATACATGTGATAGCTCTCCATTTTCAAGCACAGCTGTTTAACCACTTTACCATATCTAATATTTAATATCTGTAACTACTTGGCAAGGACTCATTTATTTACTTCTTCTGCCCAAATAGAAAACAAACAAACAAACAAACAAAAAACAACCCTACTAACAGAAACTGCACAAAGCAGATTGTGTGGTAGTGTTATCTCTCCAGTAACCTGATATCTGTCTGATGAAAGGCATGAAAGATAAAAGAATTCTTTTAAAGAAGTGTAAAGATTAATACTAAATAGTAGTTTCTGGAAAGTATTCGAGATAGACCCTTATTATATACATTATAACAGACGTTCATGATTTTCATAATTGCTATTGTTTTCTGAAAAGTTCTGGTGTTTATAAATAAGCTGAAAAACTTATACACACATTTTGCACATTAGTACTAAAATAGCATTTACATAGTAACAGAGCTACCTTAGAATTTGCTTCAAATTCCATTCCAGTTAGTCTTTTTGTATCCCCACCTAGACTGCTAAATTTTTCATTAAGTCTGTGGCTTTTCAGTCCCTTTATTTCTGCCTGATATATGTGTACTGCCAGGAATTAGATAATCCTACCAGCAGACTGGCTTCTACTCAGACTACTGAAACCACACCATGCTAAGCACATTGACCACAAAGCTAGCAGGAAAGGATGTATCTAAGGACACCCCTTGTTAACTCTCATTGAAAATGGGTGTATTAGGATGTTCTTGTGGCTTTCTTCTTTTGTCTCTTTTTTCAAATTCACTGATGAGCTGCCTAGCTTGTGGAGTGGTAGAGATGCACAACACCCTGCTGCTGGCATTTCAGCTTCCAGCTTCTTGCCACACTGCCCTGTGCTCACCTGGCCCAGAGTTGCACAGTGCTCCTCTGTGCAGCAGGATTCAGCAATGAGATATTTCTCTTCCTACCTTTCACTTTTTTTTTGAACTTACTCAACTTTATGCTGGAGAAGCTCTAAAGTGAAGCTCTAAATTGAAGAGTGAGCTTTATATCTTACGGTTTTTCAGGGCATGAGATTTTGGGTGCCAGTCAGTGTCGGTGTCTGCTGGTGCTGGTACAGTAACAATGAAGAGGAAAGTCATAATATGGATGATGCAGTTTGTTTCCCTCTGTTTTTGCATTCACTGAGTTTATATAGCATGTGTCAATGACACATGCCACATGATGATCTGCTCTGGCAATCCTACCACCTCATTTTACTAGACAAAGTATACTGAGACCAAGTAATCTTTGTGAGTGATTGTCAATACTCCAAGTCATCATATGCCAAATTCGGTAGTGCCTTTGCTTGCCAATAAATCAGAGGGAACATAGAGGACATTTTCAGCAGTTTCAGTGAAAAACTCTATATTTATTGAAGGCAAAGCAATGTATATTTTCATGCTGCTGTTCTATAAAGGAAATGTTTCTAAAATATAATACTTTTTTCTCACTGTATCCTTCTTTCTCCAGCAGTTTCCTTTTTATGAAGACACATGTAACTGATTTTTAATGAATCTCTGTTTCAGATAGATATCTTCTATAGATAATTCTACATCTACTCCAGTTTTTATAGATATTTCTACTTAAAATTATGTGGTAACACAATTGTGTTGGTCTATATATCTGGTACTGTGTCTCAGAAAACTTCTAGCTTTTATTCATGTATTTGCTATGACAGAAAAATACATCATGAAAATACCAAGATTGTAGTAGTTTAACCTTTTGAACAATTAATTAAAATAAAATTATAACATGTTTTGCACCTAAATTGTTGAGACAAAGTTTCCTTCTTCTCTTTCTGTGTATTTTTCTTTTCTTTTTGTTTTCCTTTCTCATAGGGTACTCTGTCATATTTTCTCTGTTCAGTCTTGCCTGCAAGTGTCTGAGTCAAGACTGCAGGTCTCTGTCATTTGGGCTATGGCTCATCACCTTGTAGAGAACCCTCATATAGTCTTTGAACCTAACCCTCAGGTTTCCTCTGCTGGTGACTCTGGTTCCTCACAGTTTTCACTGACTCTTCAGGGTCCTTGTGGTCAAGTTTCAGACTTGTTCTGGAGCAAAGCTGGCTTCTGCTTTGGACAGAAAGTGCCAGCTCTGTCTAGATAAAGACTCTTGCTTCCTAAGGGGCTTTTTGTCAGCAGACTTCACTAGCTGGGATACTGTTTTCTCCCTGTAGTCCTCAGTAACTTTAATGATCTCCTTTGGGCAGGCTGACCTTTCAGATTTCCTCTGAAGCAGCTATAGGAACTTCTGAATACTGATCAGCACTACTTTTGTAATCCTTACAAAACAAACAGATATGTAACAATGCTGTGATGTACAGAATAAAAGTTAAATAAAATAAAATAAAATAAATATCTCAACCTTTAAACTTTCATGTGATTCTTGAATTTGAATAAGGTACCTTAGGATTTGACATACATAACACAATCCTGAGGGCAGATATTTAGAAACATCAGTCTCAAGAGTCTGGATGTCTTTTATATAATTATCATTTTACATGATTCTGCATTGTAAATTTATACCTCTTTTGAAGTTCTTATCCTCTCTAAGACTGTCCAACTTTAAATGTTCTTAATGCACTGTAAATAATCAGACCCTAGAAGTTTTTTGTATGACAGTGATGGAAAAAATCATTGCTTTAGAACTTCACATCATTGACTATATATAACTGCCAGGGTTTGGGGTTGTTTGCTTTCCTTGTTTTCTTTTCTTCATCAGTAGAAAAACATAACATATATTCAAGCAAAGTTGAGAGTTATAAACCTTTCTCCTCCAAAATATTCTGCTTTTCATTATTATTATTATTATTAATAATAATAATTATTATTAATAATAATAATTATTATTATTTATTATATTTATTATTATTATTAATAATAATAATTATTATTAATTATTATTATTAATAATAATAAAGAACAACAGGAAAAGGCAGCTGTTTCCACAAAAGTTATGTTTTATTCATATTGCAACAGTATTTTGCACACCAGATCGCATGTAAAAGTTCCCCATGAATGTGTGGGTTTAGCAAATTTGAGCTCTCAACTATGTAATCTCTGTAGGAAGAAAGTTAAAAACAAGCTGGCTTTTCCTAGTAGTTATGATTTGAAATCAACTTCCTGATATGACTAATAATGAATTCCCACTTAGAAACTGTGTTTTGTATTGTGTAAGTTGTAATATGGGCTAGAAAGAGGTGTTGACCAATGGCTTTTTATTTGGTGACAGTAAATGTTCCAGTCCTAAAGCTGTAATAAGAAATATTTCTGTTTCCTTTGTGACCTAGCAATCGATTATTTTTTTTAATGGTTCATTTTTGAGAGATTTTTTTTTCTCTTTAAAAGTGTTCTATTTTAAAACCTAAAAGCCAATTTGAAAAAGAAAAGTCAAAATGTTTAAGAATCATAAAACATATTTTGTCTTTTTTTAAAAAAAAATTTAATATAGTTAAAATTATAAACTGTTTTCATTTCAAACTTATACATTGCTTTGGTCTACAAAAATCTGTATTGAAAGAACATAATTTGAAATTATATGTAGATACATATCTATATTCTTCCAAGTTAGTAATTTTTTGATTGATGAGAGAGACTATTATTGATGATTTCTCTATCAGGTATTTAGCTGAAGCAGGTCAAAAGCTTTAGTAGAGATCCACTTATGTTATCTTAGTCCTTAAGGAAATACTCATCAAAACACTGTAAGCTTCAAGCCCAAATGTAATGAAATTTTTGAGATAAAATTCGCTTTTTTTTTTTTTCCCCAAAGCACAAGAGTTCAGGTGAAGAGAAAAAGAAATTTAAATTTTACAGTAATGGATTTTTAACGGTGTCTTAGAAATAATAAATTGTGTTTGCTCTCAGATTTATGGAGTGTATGCACTGAGAATATAAATGACTCAGGGG